TAGAATAGCCATTATTCACTTTTACAGCAACCAACCTCTTCTTGTAGTTCTCAATTAATGATTTGCCAATTTTAGTTGGTATTTTGATCCATTCTTCTTCATATATGATTTTCAAATGACACCACAGATTCTCGATTGGGTTTAAACCTGGGGACCGACTTGGTCATTTCAGGATATTTACATTATTTTCAGTAAGCCATTTCTTCGTAAATTTTGCAGTGTGCTTAGGATCATTATCTTGTTGGAAGATCTAATCAGGAGGAAGTTCAATGTTTTCAACCGAAATCATTAAATTTGCTTCCAAAATATTTTGATATGCTGTGGCATTCATTCTACCATCTATTACTGATATGCTGTCAATACCTTTTGCAGAAAAACATCCTCAAACCATGATGCGGCCACCATCAAATTTCACTATTGGAACTGTGTCCTTCTGTTTGAAGGCATCGCCATCTTTCATCCATATACGATTTCTAGAATTACGTCCAAACAACTTAATTTTGGTTTCGTCTGTCTATAATACTCTTTCCCAATACGATTTTTCCTTATCCTTATGTCCACGAACGAATTTCAACCTGGCATCTCTGTGTCTTTTCAATAGCAGACGAGTTTTCTGAAAGGAACATGACTATAAATTTCATTGCTTATTTTCCGTTTAGTGATACAGATTCCTGATGAAAGAAAATCATCTTACAACTGTTGATGCGTAACAATTGGACTTTTGTTTAATCTGATGCATTAATTTCCTCGAAGATCTTCCGTGGGCACCTGTTCTTTGGTTTTCAACAGTTTTGAGTTTTTTATATCTTGCAGTTAATGAACTAATGGTATTAAATGGAATACTCAGGTTGTCTGAAATTTTTCTGTAACTTTTACCTTCTTTCCAGATCGTTAAGTTCTTTTTTACAAATTTGTCAATTCTTTATCTCTTGCTATGATGATAACCTTCTTGCACGAATATCAATTGCAGAATGTTCTGTTTGTATTTTTAGGCTAAAGATAACTACTGATAACATTATTGGAACATTCTAGAATATTCCACTTGAATAATCTAGAGAATTAAAGCAATTTAAATGTCTTAAAATCTGAAATTTGCATTGTACAAATACTTTTTTCACCCATTAAAATGAATAAATGGGATTTATTTCTATTAAATCAAATCCCTCACTCAATAACTTTGTTATTTTCTGTTTTTCAGCAGTTGTTAAATCCTTCCCTTTACCCATGTTTCAACATATATCATGAACAAAAGGATTAGATTATTAGATTTCAGATGTCAGATAATATTAGTTTAATCTGCATACTAACTTCAGTAAGTACATTTTTGTAAATTTCAGATATCTCAAAAACTAACCATTAAAATAGCAGAAAATTTAGTTAAATATTTTACTAAGAGTGAAAATAGATGAATTTAAATTTGACAAATATGGATCCATAACTTTTTGAGCTATTGAGGCTTATTTGATTTGCATAATAACTTCAGACGGGCTGTATATGTAAAGAAATAATTAATTAATACATCTATCTCTTGTTTCTATTAAATCATTTTAATGAAGAAAAATATCTCATAAAATGTTAATAAAAAGTTTGAAAATAAGAGATTGAATATAGAAAGTTTTTCTCCGTACGTTTTTGCACACGCATGCGTATTGTTGTTAGAAACTAAAAACTGTCCTAAGAGGGAAATATGAGATTAATTAGAGTCGTCTGGTTTTACAAGACTGATACGTGATATCAACCATTTTTTTTTTTTTTTTTTTTTTTTTGCATTGATGTTCACTCTGTACAAGGGCCGGAAGCCACTCGAGGTAGAGGATTAAAGAGTAAGAGGCAGAGTTTATCCGGAAATGTCGGGCAGATAACGGTATAACCCAAAATTTGAAAGGTTAAGATTGTAGTCTTCGGGAAAATATCATCTTGGGAGTTGATTCCAGAGAGCAGCGGTTTATAATTATGGAAGAATGTATACCGCCAATATTTATGCAGTAAAAACGCGTAATTACAATGAATATATAACTCGAAAAACTGATCATTGAGTCAATTCGAACACTATCACACTACAGGTTTACACAAAATAATATACATGTATACCGCCATCTACATATATGAGGTGGGTGTCGAAAAAGCCTTCAACCCTAACAAAAAAGCCAATTTTTACACTCCCTTACCCCACCAAACGGAAAAAATGAAACAATACTATAAAAACTCAATAAAAAAATTCATAAGATTTTCTTAGTCTGTCACATTCAACGAACATACATATACATATATATATATATATATATATATATATATATATATATATATATATATATATATATATATATATATTATAAATTAATTGATTTAAAATATGGTTTTTTCACACACAGTTGTAACCATGTTTCAAAAATGGAAGCTAAAAGCCCTGAATTTATTTTTGTAATTAAATTAAAGACTTTAATTCCATTTCATCCTCAAGCGAATTTTAAAAGTTACTCCAAAATTCGCTTGAGGATGAAATGGAACTAATGTCTTTAATTTAATTACAAAATTAAATTCGGGCCTTTAGCTTCCATTTTGAAACATGGTTAGAACTTCAGTCATAATGAAAAAACATATTTTAAATCAATTAATTTATATTAATGCTCTGTAAATTTACATAGAACTATTTTGTAAAAATAAAAATATCTATAAGAACACAGGATTATATATCTTACTGTTCTTTCTTTTTATATTTATATATATATATATATATATATATATATATATATTATTATTAACGAACTATTTAACATGTTTAAAATGTTCCTTTTTATGTTTAATACAGTGTTGTACCCTATCAGCAACGCTTCTACAAACCATCTGACACATTTCTACATTAATTTCAGAAAAATCTATCAGAAATTGCTTGTTTTAATTCAGGAATTGTTTTCGTTCTGAACCTATAAACAAAATCTTTCAGTACACACTAAAAAAAAAATGTCTGGTGGTGTTAGGTCTGGTGATCGTGATAACCAATCAATCGATCCACGTCGTCCTATACACTCCAACTCGAAATTTTACATACAAACTTATATAATATAAAACTAAAAAAATCCCTATTTATACAACTGAAAAACTATAAAGCAGATAAATAATGCCGCAGTAATAAAAAGGCTTTATTTTTCCCCGTGCTCATTCCTTTTGTCACACTTGGTATATATATATTATATATATATATATATATATATATATATATATATATATAATAGAAAAGGTCTGATGATTTGGATCGTGATTACAATTCCAATGTAATAAATTATAACCATGGAATATTAGTGTTTAAGTCTTTTATATTATATTCTTACTCTGTCCTGGACATTGAGTTCTACCTGGATTCTATCCTCTTGGGAATTTATATATATATATATATATATATATATGTGTGTGTGTATTGACCACTAATATTATCAATATATATATATATATATATATATATATATATATATATATATATATATATATATATATATAAAAAGAATAACTTATCCTAGCCGATGCGTTCTGAGGGACTTTATTTACAGATATGCTCTATCTGAAATTTTTATACACATACAGACACATGCACACACAATCACACACACACACACACGCGCGCGCATATATATATTTATATATATATGAGATAATACGTTTTAAAAAGTCTTATATATTAGTATAATAGTAAGTTATTGAATAACAATGTGGAAAATACTTCTTGACGTATTTCGTCCTTCGAAAGGACTTCTTCAGATTAAATAATGTTTTATCGTTGGAATTATACATCTGTCGGGGATAGAGCGAAATACAACAAACGTCGGTTATAATTCTATAACAAGATAAACGATAAGAGAAAGATACAGTCTCAGATTTTTCCATTTTGTCATTAGATTACACACACACACACACAGACACACACACACACACACACACACACACACACACACACACACACACACACACACACACACACACACACACACATATATATATATATATATATATATATTATATATATATGTATATAAATAAAAAAGAAAGAACAGCAAGATATATAATCCGGTGTTTTTACAAAATAGTGCTCAATGTAAATTTACAGAGCATTAATTTTAAAAATTAATTGATTTAAAATATGGTTCTTTCACTACACAGTTCTAACCATGTTTCAAAAATGGAAGCTAAAAGCCCCGAATTTAATTTTGTGATTAAATTAAAGATATTAGTTCCATTTTATCCTCAAGCGAATTCAAGAAAAATTCGCTTGAGGATAAAATGGAACTAATATCTTTAATTTAATCACAAAATTAAATTCGGGGCTTTTAGTTTCCATTTTTGAAAGCGAAAGAACCATATTTTAAATCAATTAATTTATATATATATATATATATATATATATATATATATATATATATATGGTAATAATATATTTTTAAGGTATGCTATCTTTATGAGCTAAAGTATCAATATCAGGGATAGAACATATGTAAATATACAAGTGGACACTCAAGTTAACTCCCAGCGGGGACAGTCTGTTTCATGCCTAAACGCAATCTCCAGGCCAGGAAGAATGGAAGCCACGCCTTTATAGTGGCCTGACGATTGCAGTTAAGCATGAAATAGACTGTCATGTTCATGCGTATAGTTATTTATCATAGTCCGACACAAGGACATGGTAATATGAGCGTTGTGTGCATGTGCGTGCGCGTTTGCTTGCGTGTGTGCGTGTGCAAGTATTTGTCAGTATGTATTTAGCGTGACTGGAGGGCATATCTACCTACCTTTCTATACACAATTGATTGTCACTCAATCAATTTCATTATCTTATCACAAACGCAGATATATATTCATATATACGTGTTGACCTGCATGACAAATACATTTACTTCAAGAAAACTCCACAAATACACATTCAATCTCGTTTTTGTTCGGGCGTGGTGCTTTTAAGATAAAGGCGTGGCTTCCATCCTCAACACCTTTGTTGCCCAATGATTGACAGTTGTATGCATTCCACCCGCTTTTACCGCTTCCCACCCACCTCTCTCTGTCTCCGTGGTAATTCTATCACCAGAACAATAACTGCTAACGTAAAGGTTTTGCGACTAACCAAACCACAGAATCCACCGTGGGAACAGGCGTCGTTAATAAATGCTACAACAAACTATGATTTCTAGCAAGTAGTAAACTGAAAGTTGCAGTGTTATGTGCAGCCAACGTTAGTCATTGAAGGGACGTTTCTATAAGCAACTAGTTGATAAAATCAATGAATGACTGGAAAAGCCTAAATTTGAATTTTCAGCCGGGGCAGATTTTTTCTATAATGTCTATTTTATTCTTTATTGATTTCAATTTTTTTTTAATTATCCACAAGTGAAAAACTCGTGTTATATTTGTCCTCATCTTTTTTGAAAGGAAGTGAAAGGGCTACTTCGTTTCTTTAACTTTTGCTTATAAAATTAATAGTTGCCATTTAAAAAAAAAAAAAAAAAAAAAAAAAACGTCAGGTTGAACGCAAACGAAATCATAAAATTTTGGTATAATTAACAGGTGGGAAATTTCTTTTTTTATCTTTCCTTTTTCGGGCTTTCTTTCTTTTTCTTCGCTTTTCTTTCTTTTTCTTCACTTTTCTTTCTTTCCTTTTTCTCTCTTTCTCATTGTCTTTCTTTCTGTCACTCTTTTTTCTTCTTTTTGTTTCTCTTTGTGCGTTCCTTTCGTTCTTTCTTTTTCTCTTTCTGCTTTTTTTGTCTCTCGTTCTTTCTGTCTCTCTTTCTTTCGTTCTTTCTCTTTCTATTTCTGTTTTTCTGCCTCTCGTTCTATCTGTCTCTCTTTTCGGTCTTTCTGTTTTTCTTTCTGTCTCTCTTTCTTTCGTCCTTGCTGGCTTTTTTTTCTGTCGGTCTCTTTTTTATTTCACTCTATCTATCTTTCTTTCTGTCTCTTTTACTGTCTCTCTTTCTTTCCTTTATTCTGTTTTCTTTGCTTTTCTTTCTATTTTTTGTGTCTTTTCTTTTGGTTTTCTTTGTCTTTCTTTCTGTTTTTCTTTCTCTCTCTCTCTCTCCATCTTTCTTTCTTCCCGTCTTTCTTTCTGTTTGTATGTCTTTCTCTCTTTCTCTCTTTCTTTCTCTCTCTCTCTCTCTCTCTCTTCATCACTTATCTCAACCTATCTATTTTTGTTAGCCTATATCTGTTTCAATCTGTTTATTCTGTCTGCTCGACCATCTGTACGTCTGTCAATTTGTGAACCTCTTAAATTATTAAAAATAAATTTTGTAGGTAGACATTTATTATATAGTAAAACATTTGGCCAAATTTGCAAGAAAAGAATCAAATCAGCGCTCAGCACTCGAGAAAAAGAACAATTGAAATAAAATAAACGTTACTTTACCATTATTAATTGTATTTTAGACATAAGAGGGAGTTTAATTTTAATCTTAATTTTAATTTGCGCTGTTCATAATTGACCAACGATAACAGAAAATCCAATGGACAAGATTTCAACTGAAACATAGGAAAATAAATATTTAAAAGAAAGACAACAAAGGTAAGAACAATGAAAATTAAAAGAATAATCATTAAAAATTAACGATATAAACTGATCTCAAGATATAAAACAAAACATGGTATACGTATGCCAGTGAATTTTTTTTTATTGGTACGTCAAATGAAACACAAAGAAAGAAAGAAAAAGAGTCTGAATTTCTTTGACGAAATTATAATAATTTCAGACTAGTTTATCTTTCATCTTTTACGCGTTACGTTTTAGGTCCTATTTATCCGTTAATCACAAAGTCTATCCTTAATATACACCGTGGGAAAAAATCAAGATGCAGAATTTTTTCTGTGACAAAATAAATAAAATTAATAAATAAGTAGTTTAAAATTGTTTTGGTGTTAAAAAAAATTAAAAAAGAAAAACAATTTTTTTTTATTTCTTTATTTTAGTGAGACACCAAGCACAATTTTCCCAATTAAAATTATGAAAACAAAGGCTATAGTAACGCTTCTTATAATACGACGGACTTCAAATTTGATTTTAAAAAGAAAAGCACTCATCTTTATTTGAACTGAATTAGGAAGACGTGCAAAAGAAGTTCTTAGTTCAATCACCAAAATTCTGTTATTTGAATATTTGGACAGATTTTGTGAAGTAAAACGAGACGAGAACTTTTCAACACCTCCTGATATATATATATATATATATATATATGTGTGTGTGTGTGTGTGTGTGTGTGTGTGTGTGTGTGTGTGTGTGTGTAATCATTTCACTCCAAGCAAGGCGATAACACCACTAAGATGCAAGTGAGTTAATGGGAATGAAAGAGAATGAAAAGACTTTAGAAGGTACCGGAAACCCAGAAAACAAGAAGCAAAAATAAACCTCTACTTATTTTTAAAACACCGGAGAGGAGTGTAAACCGGACGATAGACGAACCCATAATGTATGTGTGTGCATTATTATTATTATAAACGTTATATTTAGTGGATACGTGAGTTCGAGTAGATAAA